TGTCCCCCTGTATCTTGCAATAAAAAACCTGCCTGTGTTTTATTGAAATGAAATTATGCTATAATGTCACTTTTGCTATTAGCACAGAGAGTCTGTGCATGCCAATTGATCCTGCTGTTGTCATAGCAACGTGAACCACTAAACCTCCGCGCAGCTGTTGTTATGGAAGCCCTTGAACAGCTGGGGGGCTATAGCTGCGAAGGGATTGTGGGAAACTGGTCTTTTGGTCCTCCCTTCACACCTTGACCCCAAAATGCCTGCTAGTGGAAAGAGAAGGATTTGGGGATCTTAAAGATGTCCATCTGGAGTTTTCTCTCCGCTGTACAGAGCCGCCGTGTGATTAGGGAGAAAGTTAAGGCCGGAAGTTGTGAATATTTAATCATGTCTGTGTCTTCTCCCTTCACCTATTTTGCCACGAATGCGAGCAGCAAAATCAAATGAGACAAATGAAGCTAGATTCTCTCCCAGGGTTTGCCTGATGCACTGGAGCATATCCCATTATTGATAAGAGCAACTGTTGTACACAGTGCAACAATAAAACAATCATTTCACAAGAAGCACAACTTGTCCTGGGAGTAGCACTCTCTGAGTCCAATTCCTTCAGCTGTAATAATGTCGAAATATAACCCAAGAGCAAGGTCTCAACCTCCTGCTGTTTGCTTTCATGCAGAATTCCCTGACTGTGATACTTCTCTGTGTATCAGGATTATCAGTATTGTTGATACTGCTTGTTTGTGACTCATAAACTGCATATGAAGTGCTATTCTGTGGAAGAAGAAGAAGTACTCACAGGCTTTACATAAAAGAAATACTATGAAGTTAAAGTCATTTGCTTAAGTAAAAGTACAGAGGTATGATCATCTAAATGTACTTAAAGTATCAGAAGTGGCATTCTTGTTAAGCAGAAAGGTATATACTGGTATATTGTTACTCACTTACTTAATTACAGATGTCATAACATGTAAGTAGTATTTAAATGTTGCAGTTGGTTAGGATGGACTACATTTTTAGGGCTGCAATTAATGATTATTTTCATTATTCATTAGTCTGCCGATTATTTTCTCAATTAATTTATTGGTCTGTAATATGTGCTATACCAAAAAAGAGAGACAGAATGTCTCATAAGATGTCTGATGGATTTTTAATTATATAAACAGAGAAAAGCAGGACATCCTTACAATTGAGATGCTAGAACTGTAATACTAGAATATTTGCCATGTTGTGTTGATCGGCTAATCAACTCAAGGGATGATTGTTTAAGCTCCACAAATTTTAAGTACTTTAACTAGGCCATCGGTTGGGAGGTCCGCCTGCAGCGACCAATAGCAGAGACCCACCTGAACCTTTTATTGCACTTAGGATTTATAATACCAGCACTTTAAATGTCTTAAATTGTCATATTGTGTACTCTGTACTTAATGTTGCCATGCTGCAAAAAGAATAATATTTCCCTCTCACTGTAGAGTACAAGTAGAAAGAGACAAATAGTAAAAACAATACAAAGAAAATGACAAAGTTCCTCTACACGTGTACCTGTGTACACATGTAGAGGCTGCAGTGTGAGTGATGGTGGGCAGATCCAGGAATGCTAATGTTTCCTCTGTGGCTTTTGTGAGACACGGTGATTAGACCTCCAGCCCCCTGGGTGGAGCCCCTCGCTGCAGCGGCTCCCGCTCTTATTTACTTTGACGTCAACAGGAAGGTCAGCTGGGTCCCAGAGGGGTCATGGAGAGATGGTGAATGGTGTGTGTGGTGGCCGTCAGTATACAGAGGCGCTGCTTTAGGATCCCAGACGGGGCCAGAGGGATGACCGAGGGAGGAAGGGCCCTTGGAGCTTAGGGAGGGCTTCGGGAAGGATTACTGAGAGGCTAAAATGTTTTCTTTGTGGCTGAAAGAAACCTAAGAAATACTCTCACTCAAATCTCCCATGGTCTGAGGGGGTCTGAGTTTGGCAGTGAAACTCAAGCTACATCCTAAAGCCGTTCTCGTTTTCTTGGGCTTTGAGCTCGTCTTTACGATCATTAGTCAGTTTTGAGCTCCAAGTTTTTTATCACTAAGAAAGAGCCTTGTGGACATAAAGCGAGGTTCAACCAATAGCATAGCTGGATTTCCCCCCATCAAAAGACCGTTTTTTGAATCATGATGGGAGGAATGGAATGGACAATATGGGAATGGAAAGCCTTTGTATTGATAAATGAACTGTGAGATACGGTATATTGCATTGGACAATTTGTTCAGTAAATGACAAATCCAAGCAAAGTCTGTCTTCACAAGACCATGACAACAATTTCGTATGTTCTGTAGCTCTCACGAATAAGAATATTAATACATGTAAAACATTGGACACCAAAGAGCAATAACAACGGGTACAATAATAATTCTTGAAAACAATCCTCAAAAAATAGTTCTGCAATTTTCTCATAAAACCTTTTCTAATGTTTAGCCATTCTATGTTCAATGAACCACTTTATGTGCTACATCTCAGATGATGTAAACACTCCTAATTGAGTTTCCGCAAATTTTGCATGAAAGTGGGATAGAATAAAAACTTTTTAATGTTTCTGATGAAACTGAGAGAAAGAGAATTGTTTGGGCTCTTCCCGCTAAATCTCCACCGCTTTCATTCCAATCCCCCCCCATCTACTCGGGGCCTCTGGTAGTGCCTACCTACCACACACACAGTAGTCCCCACTGAGCTGTGCAGGACTGAATAAATACCAACCCTTCAGAGGCTCTGTGTTAGCAGATTGCTGGATGTAGGCGGCCTGCTGTGAGGCCTGACCACACTCCCACTGTTCTGAAGGAGCTTTAAGCGAAAGATCAGGTGTCCAGCCCTGAATGCTTGATTGAACTTAAATCTTTTGCATGTGCGCCATAACTCTCTCTGCAGAGCTCTGCTCCTTGTGGCTCAGACATGGCCGGCCAGTCAATTGCTCTAGGAATTTGAGCTGTAGCGGCTCACTGCCCTCGCTGTTTTCACCTGTGTCATCGAAAATTAGAATCCCATGCATTTTGTTTACAGTGATGGAGGGGCACATAAAATTGGTGGAGTAACTAAATTATTTTAATGGTCATAACATGAGGCAGTAATAACCTAATATAAACAAATGAGCACTAATGTATATATTTATGCTTGTAAAAGTACCTTTATTTACCAGTATTTTCATATACAAGTACTTTAATACTCTAATTTATACTACAAACACTCAAGTACTCAACCAATCTGACTTTCATTTCAGTTTTTTTTTAACAAGATGGCTTATTCTTGCCTAATGTAACATTACAATTTACTCACAAACTAAAACAGTGTAGTCAGTCATAATTTTTTTTATTCACCTATTTTACTGTCTCATTATCATCCATGTATAATTTATAATGTTTTTAATTTAGGATGAAAAACCATTATACCATAACCATTAGATTTTTCAGAGCTATAGTTCAACTTTTAACACACGTTCACTTAAATTTTACATTTTTTAAAAGTAAGGATACAAATTTCTTTAAAAAATTAAGTCCGCTGAGCTTCCTCTGAGGAAGAGCATGAGAAGGGGTTGAAAGATTTCTTTTGTCAAACGTGGTTTTGGTCTCAGACCATGTTACCATAACATCCCCAGTTTGAATGCAGCAGGGGTCTTTGTTGCATGTCGTCCTCTTGTTGTTTATCAAAAAAAGGCAAGACACCAAAAAGTGGTTTGCTGAATTGTTGAGTTACTTGAACTGGGCAGCTGTGGCTCAGGGGGCGGAGCGGGTCATCCATTAATTACAAGGTTGTCGGTTTGATTTGTTTGTGTGTGTGTGTGTGTGTGTGTGTGTGTGTGTGAATGAGAGGCAAATTTGTAAAGCGCTTTGTCCATTAAGGCACTTTTTGGGGACCTCTCTGATTGTCTGACCTCTTGTTTTGCCTTGCCTTTTACTTTTGCTATCAAGATCTAACAATCAAGGTGGAAAGCAGCATTTTATCATAATGGGTGGGAATAATGACCAGCAGTCCAAAAACAAGACCCAGGTTGTATACTATAGTTTTTGTATAAGTGACACCATTTTGATCAGGATACAGTCAACACTAACACAAATGTGTGTGTCACTGGCATTTAGTTAAACAATAGGTTATCCTTAAAAGTTTCTGTGACTGGAATACTTTGTAAATGACATACATTAATTGATTGGCATTCAGTCTCCGCTACACATTTTATTAAAGTATAAGGCTTATTATATATATTTGTATCATCAATAAATTCCATGACTAGACCAAAACTAACACTGACTGTGTCCTGCTAACAAGTAGGCCTACTGTGTGTGCCTGAAAGCCTGAAATATCTTCTTCCTCTGTGCCATAGAGCTCCATTGTTGTCCAGAAACTATTAAAAACACAACAATGAGCCTCACCGCTGCACTGGGTGACATGTTCCGTCATCATCATGAACACACACACTGTAGTTTACTTTGACTCAATCCCATATCACACTAGATAGAGCACCAAATGTGGATTAATCTGCAGTTGAAAATAGTCCCCAACAAATGCAATATTTCCTCCTGTTTGACTCCTGTTTGCGAAAAACTGCGATGGTCAGCTGTTTTAGAGAATGACTTTTAAAAAATGGAAACTACGTATTTGTAAGTTCTGAGTGCCACAGACAGAGTAGGGAAGTCATTAAGTATTGACGGATGGACTGACACATTTTTGGTTTTAGTGTTTCTATGGTATTTGGTGACGATGGATAAAATATAGAATAACACTACTTTTATCCTTTAAACATATCCTTTGTGGTATGTGGAACAGGCTGATTCATTACCCACTGCCCCTGTTATCTGCACCAATACTGATGTTTCAGTGCACTTGTGATTGTAATAATATTCTATGCTTCCAGCAAAAAAGTGGAATTGACCATATACTGCATCCCTGCTTGCATGGACAACATTGCATATTTTCAATCATCTTCTGCATGTCACCATTTTCAGTAATAATGATGCCTAGCTTAAATGTTGTGAACTCTCAACAGGCTTTGTGTGGAGAGTTGGATACCGGGCCAAGGAGCAGAGAACAACACTGAAAGCTCCTGCGTTGCTGTGGGCAAGCTAACTGTAAGTTGTCAGTTTTATTCCAGTAAACCTTATAATATAGCCAGGTTGTGTACACTGGTGCTTGTTTAACAAAGCTGTGTGCAAATTTCAAGTGCGGGTTTCATGATCAGAATGTTCATCCTGACCTGATAGACTTTCAGGAACAACATATCTGATAGCGCTAATCTGTTTCTACAGAGGCCAGCGCCAGTCTGTGATTTAATTTAGCACACAATCAAATATAATTCATACTATAAACACGTTGACATGCCAGAATACACGGCCAATGATTACCCTGCTGCAGTTCACTCAAGCTGGTTAAAACCAAAGATCATGTCAATCCCATGAGCATATTTTCTCATCATTTCTTCACTTCCTAAATGAGAATATCAATGTCTGTGCTCTGTTCTTGCTGGAACTTCAATCTATACCTTTGTGCTTTTTAATGGCTGACGATTCCCTCTCCAACAAACACACTATTTGCATCTTAGACACAATGAAATTGAATGTGACCTGGTGGGAATTTGGGCTGTCTTCTACAAGAGTGATTTTATTTTATTTCTGACATTTGAATTTTAGTGCTGTCTCACCACGTATACTGTACATGTATAGGTATCAACTGATTGACTGTTATGACATGTTTCCACAATTGCTCTATCCCTGAAGAACAATCGAGGATCAATGATATTTTTATTATGTCAGAGCAGCAATTTGTTATACAGACATCGGTAACCAACTTTCCAAAGGTACCGGTGCTTTCAGAGACTAAGAGTAGGTCAGTATTCTGGTATACTGGAGTGGATAGTGGTTCTATATTGTGTTGCCATGGCAGAACGGGCCAATCCAAATGGTTTATGGATGCCCATAACTAGAAGAGAGTTCATCCTACAAAAACACTGTGAGGTAGAGTTTGCTGTTGAGTCACTGAAGCAGTGAGGTATCCACATAGTATTTTACTTTTAAGTAAGTTATAGGTACCCATTAGTGCAAATTTTGTTTATTTGGCTCAACAAGTGGACATTTCAAAATAATGTTGTGTTCAAACAGTTTTCACATTGTCAAGCTAAAGCAGCAAAATTAGCTTATTCCAAGAAATTTTACCACTTTAGGAAACTTATTGCTGCTGTCTTAGCTCTGACATCATTTCCCTATTAAGTGTTCATGTTGCTGTAGCTGTGATAACTACCAGTGTGTAGCTTGCTGTGATGACTTTAGCTAACGCAGCTGCCAACCATTCTGTCACAATATGAGCTCTATTTAGAATAGCACAAAAACAGTAATGATCATGAGACAAAGAAGAATTTCTGGGGATCACAACCTCTTCTTATTTCTTCAACTACTAGTGTGATTTGAAGACACTCATGTGGTGATTAAAAGGGTTTGATCATGCAAATTACTGATTTTTTTTGTTGTTGCCAGAATTGTCTAGTTGTTCTTGCCCATGTCCACCTCCACCTGAGTCATTCCAAATACAAGAATATTTGAAATAAGGTGGAAATTGCTGTCTTGGAGCATTTGAATATTACTGCCTGTCCCTATGGTTCAGCCAATTCAAATCAGCCAATTCAATAAACCAAAGGACTTTAATGTCCCCTGCTCCCCCGTGTCTGCAACTAATTACAAAATGATTTGAAGAGCTTTCCCCCACTTTTATTTATTAGTTTATCTTGAACCATGGTTCTCTTTGTAGAGCTTCTATTAAAGTAGTGGTGTTTGTGCTTTCTTGTAGTGACCTTTTGCAACTACACCTGGCTGTCTTGAAGTTTATCTATCTTTGGAATGTCACCATCATTTTTTGCACCACAGAGGTCTTCAGGGGCCCCCTTGGTTCCTAGAAATAATAATAATTTATTTATACACAAAAACATTTAAGCAATGCAAAAAATCAGACAATTAAAACATTACAAAAAACCCCCAACAATTAGAAAAATTATTATTATCACTGATAGGAAATAAGATAAGAACTTTTTTTTTTTTTTAAATATAGAGTTTAAAAGATGTCAAAGATTCTGCAAAGCTCATCTTCAGGCAGAGGGTTCAGAGGTGAGGGTCCCTGACTGCAAAATCCTGGTCACCTTTAGTCTTGAATCAGGACTTCACAGTAGGGCTGGGTGGCCAAAAATGTTATCATGATAAAACAATTTCATACCATTTGATATCAATAATTATCACAATAAATGTCAAATCATTATTTCTTGTCCAAGGTAGTGCAAAAAGGACCCAAATGCATAACTCCACACAGGCAGGTAGGTTTAACAAAGCTAGCTTTAATAATAAAAAGCTAATCAAACCAAACAGGCAACGAAAACAGAGGGAGCAGGCCGAAGCAGAATCCAGAAAGCAAAGGATAGATACAAAAACTAAACTAAAGACAAACTGGAAAGGCACGAGGAACACAGGCAGGAATTCTGAAGAAGGAAGCAGCACGCAGGACTGGGGTACAGACACGATCTAAAAGAGGCAAGACACAATGACTATACGCACTAGGGAAGGACAACAAGGGACAGGTGAAGAGAATCAAGACGGGGCAGACAATCACACAAGCAGGAAAACAAAGACAGGTAGTGAAGTTTACCAGAAAAGATTTTTGAGATGCTCCTCAACTGATGAAGGTTGTTCCAGTGTGGATCGTGTGTGCATTTTGGAGCCGTGAAACTTTCTACCAAACAGTGCTTCTACATTCATCAGTATCTTCCAGCTACCCAGTATAACGAGTCCAATAATGCTGGTTAGTTTCACAGGATCAACTGTGGATTGCTCAAGGGAATCTTGACACTCATGCTGTTGAAGGACGAGTGTTTCATGTTCACTTTGACACTGCGTTCTGCACATCAAAGTTTATATCCACTGCCAACTTTCAGCGGCTGAATGGGAGAGTAATCTGTTTGACTTTCATGCAGGAGATTGCAGTTTGCATCTCATCACAGACATCCAATTAACATTAGTGTTAATTAAGTGTAACTATGATCTGTCCCTAAGCCTCCCCAAGTGTTTAGGTGCCTAAACTTATCCATAGTTTATTTGCCAAAACCGCATTCTTTCCCAAACTTTTACCATGGCTGCCATGCGCAGCTATTCTATAAAGCCAAATAGAAAAAACAAAAACATCCATTGGCATTGGATGTTTCAAAAATGTCAGTATCAAGTGTAATCCAACATTTCATAGAATTGTCCATTGACATTCTTGCGTAGCGACAGGGTTGTTCCACAAAAAAAAACATTTATCCTGCTGGCTCTAGGATTAAAACTTGCTATCCTCTTTCATCCTCATACTCTTGTAATATCAACCCCTTCACGTTAAGTGTCGTTTTGTCAAATTTTGACTGTTGAAAAACTAAATCCTAATTAGCCTTTGTTGTCAAATGCCCTTATGTTGGGAAGAGGCCATAGACAAAATATGAGCTAGGACAATGGGGGATGTGTACGTACATGGCAGTCTCTAGCTGATTGCCAGAGGCCTGGTTATACTAAGCCATTTGTCTCTTCCTACACACAGGCCAGACTAATCGTACAGCCAGTCTCCATGTCCTCTCAGCCCCTAAGTGTTCCCCACTCCCGCCCTCCCTCTCCCCACCCAAAACCTCCAGCATGATTCCCCACCAAGGATTGTTTTACGCTTAATTTTGTTAGAGTTAATGAGATTTCACTAATTAAATCTCCTCCTGGTTGGAGACCCCCCCACCATCCTTACATTGCCCCCCTTCCACTTACAATCACTCCAGCCCATGGAGTGATTGCTTGTAGAGCTATTTTAGACAAATAAACTTTTTCATGAAGAACAGGGGCAGTGGGTTGCACAAGGACAAGCCCGTGTAACTCTGTGGATTTCCAATTTCGTGCCAAGATGCTCCGCTGCATTTGTGATAGCCAGTGTGTTTTCAAATCTGATTTGGTGTATAAGAGTAGGAAGTAGTTGTTGAGATGTTTTTGCATCATAAGGATGAGGCGCTACAGAGTATGTCAGTAGATGCTAGGAGACAGAGTAGTGGTTGCTTTCCTTGGAACGTCGCGTTGTTCAGATCAGTTGTGGTGAGTGAAAGATTTTAGGGTCCTTTTCATGGGTGAGGAATATTTTGTAACTGCTAAAGAAACCCTTGGAAATGATATCCTACTTTAAACTCCTCATACTGTATATCCCTCCACTGCTGTTAACCAGTCATATATTGTAGCACAGTGGCACCAAGTGACAGGACTTCACAGACAAAACGCACACATGTTCTAGATACATGTCTCTAATAATAATCCCCGCATTAGCTGGCAGCGCTAGAAGGGAAGTGCTGAAGGGTGGGACCATCTCAGTTCAAGCAGTGAGGCCTTGGAGGTCATTGTTAACAGCAGCCGCTTGCCCTGCTATTATAGACAACCCTCTGGGACTCTCACACTGACTATTGTGGGAGCCAACCTCCTGTTTCCCGTGTGAGCCCTGGACACCCAGTGCCAGCTCTGCCGCTCGGTTCTTCAGCCAAAAGGTCCATTACACTCCCTCCCATGCCTCTGTGTCCATTGTAGCCCAGCTCCCTCATCCCCTGCCTCATTTATGCGCACACACACACACACACACACACACACACACCGTCCAGCCTCAGAAGCCCCTGTGCTGTGGCCCACGGGTGGGCGGGTGAGCGAGTGGGCAGCGTGCCCGTTTCAGATGGGAGTGCTTCCTTGATGAAGGCTCATGCTGATCGGGTTTCTGCCACCTGTCATTCAGCTTAGGAGGCAGGAAAGGGGGCAACAGTGGTTGTGGGCGGTGGGAGTGAGGGGGCGGCGCGGAGTTGGGGTGGTTAACAGGAGAGATGCCATGGCAATCTGGCACCATGCCTGCAGCCTGCTGTTGTTTCAGTGTAGCCTCCCAGACTTCTCAAGTAGTCCTCTTAGTTCACGCAGTGGTGAGTTCCCCTTTTGATCTAATAATAAAGTAATCCAATTTCACACATTGTTATATTATTTTTTCCTAAATTTAAAAAAAGCATTATATATATTTCACATGACATGTAATTCACTGAAAAGACAAAACATTGAAT